CGGATCTCCCCTCCTTCCGCCGCGCCCTCAAGACATGGCTATTCCAGCTAGCGGGACTGGCCTAAGGGATATTTTAATTTGATTTTAATTTGATTTTAATTTGGTTTTTAACATAATTTTAAAAAGAAACGGCAAAAAATCAATATTTCATTTTAATTGTATTTTAAACTTAGTATTTTGTATGGTTTGTTTGTTTTTTAACTTGCTGTAAGCCGCCCTGAGTCCGCCAGGAGAAGGGCGGGGTATAAGTTTAATAAAACCTAAACCTATAAAATCTTTTCGCTGCTGTGTGCAAAAAAAAAAAAAAAAGGTTCAGTCAGTCAATTTCAACTTCTTGCGGGAAAAAAAAGATTCCGCAAAGTTGGAATTGATTGATTGAATTTTTTAGTCCCACCCAGTCTGCCGTTACCACCGCAGCCACGCCCACCCAATTGGCCACACCCACCCAATGGGCCACACCCACCCGGCACCCGATGATACATAAGTGGGTTTTGGGTTGCAGTTTTGGCACTCGGTCTCTAAAAGGTTTGCCATCACTGGTATAGGGTTTCTTGCCTGAGCAGGGGGTTGGACTAGATGACCTCCAAGGTCCCTTCCAACTTTATTGTTGCTGTTGTTATTATTATTATTATCACCAAGGTCCCTTGCAACACTGTTATTTTGCTAGTGACTTTTATGCAATGATGCTAAACCTTCGGGAATTCCGTTATTGGTACAAGACGGAATACATTTAAGAATAGAATAGAATAGAATAGAATAGAATAGAATAGAATAGAATAGAAGCTGGAAAGGACCTTGGAGGTCATCTAGTCCAACCCCCTGCTCAAGCAGAAGAACCTATACCATCTCAGACAAGTGACTGTCCAATCTCTTCTTAAAAACTTCCAGTGTTGGAGCATTCACCGCTTCTGGAGGCAGGTTATTCCACTGGTTAATTGTCCTCACTGTTAGGAAGTTTCTCCTTAATTCCAGATTGCTTCTCTCTTTGGTTAGTTTCCATCCGTTGCTTCTTGTCCTGCCTTCAGGTGCTTTGGAGAATAGTTTGACCCCCTCTTCTTTGTGGCAGCCCCTCAGATACTGGAATGCTGCTGTCATGTCACCCATTTCTTCTTTTTTTTTAGACTAGCCAAACCCAAGTCCCGCAGCTGTTCTTCATATGTTTTAGTCTCTAGGCCTTTGATCATTACACTCCCATTCACAACCTACACAGACTTGGCTGATCTTGAAAGGCTAGGCTGGGTCTGATTAGTTTAGCACTTGCTCCTGAGACTGGCAAGAGAGAAGCATAATTCGTAAACAAGTCCAAAGGCACATCCTGGAAGAAGGAAATGGTAAAGCCCTTCTTCATTGCTGCTGAGAAAATCACAAGCTTGTGCTGAGCCACATTTGGTGAAGCTCCTTTGAGGAGACACACTGCCCACATCCATCCTCCATCTCATATCTCCTGTGCTGATTGGGAGCAGAGCAAACAGCAGCTTCTGCTGGACTTTCTTCCCTGTTATGGTCTTGTGAGTGCAAGTGGGGGAAGAAGACAAGGGGTCCCTCCCTCCCTCCATCACTCCCACCTTCCACCTGCTTGCTCCTGGGGAGGAAAGCTATGGCAAATCTAGACAGCATAGTAAAAAGCAGAGATATCACCCTGCCAACAAAAGTGCGTATAGCCAAGGCCATGGTTTTCCCAGTTGCAAAGTATGGCTGTGAAAGTTGGACCATAAGAAAGGCTGAGCGACAAAGAATTGAGGCCTTTGAACTATGGTGCTGGAGAAGACTCCTGCGAGTCCCTTGGACTGCAAGGCGATCAAACCGGTCAGTCCTAGAGGAGATCATCCCTGACTGCTCTTTAGAAGGCCAGATCCTGAAGTTGAAACTCAAGTACTTTGGCCACCTAATGAGAAGGAAGGACTCCCTGGAGAAGGGCTTAATGCTGGGAAAGATTGAGGGCAATAGAAGAAGGGGACGACAAAGAATGAGATGGCTGGATGGAGTCACTGAAGCAGTAGGCGTGAGCTTCAATGGACTCCAGAAGTCCATGGGGTCGCGATGGGTCGGACACGACTTTGCAACTAACAACAACAACAGTGCTTCCCAGATCATTTGTTGGACTTTTCTTCGATTCCTGAACCCCTGATATTTTCTCCTCTGGAGTAAGCCCACTGAAGCCAAAGAGACTCCCTCCCAAACAGGAAGGTGGAACATTTTGAGACTTATATAGGAAATGGGGAAATGGCTGCATGGTTTCTTCCTCCTTTCTGATCCTTGTTCAAAATGTTGTTTGTGGGGAAGGGGTTTTGGGGGATGCTAGGCAAAACTCAAGAGAGGATGTCTCTCATCCATACCAGCAAAGTCAACAGAGAAAAGTCATACCAGCAAAGTCAACACAGGAGTGCGAGTCAGTGGATGCATTTGTTTCACTTACATATGAAGAGTAGAATCCCAGCTCCCAAGATCATGACAACCTGAATTCCCACAGGAATCCACCACTCTGTAGCTAAAGAAGGAGAAACATGCTTCCGATTAGAGAGACACTGAGTTCCCTGAAGTGGAGCTGCTGAGCAATGGAAGCAATTCCCAAGCTGCACTGGCCTCCAGGAAGTGTCTCCCCACCTGAAGGAAGCCCCCTCTTCCTTCAAAACCATTCCTTCTGACCCCTGCAGCCTTGGAGGGGAGGGGCTCCCTTCAGGTGGGGGCACTGCCTGGAGGTTGCGGAAGGCAGAAGACAGAAGGAAGAGCCACAATTAAGGCAGCAGTCAGGTAAGGGGGTCTTGACGAAATTGCCAATTAAGCCAAGAAATCAGTTTAAAGAAATGTATCAAAGAGGCCCTATAAGAGAATTCTTCCAGAAAGAAAACGTACTTTCAGCTTCATAATGTGGATCTATTATGAAGGTGAATAATGTTTTCTTTCGGGGAGAATTATCTGATAGGTAGTGCTGTTGAAGCAGCAAAAATACAGTAAAGTGACAATTATCTATCTATCCATCCATCCATCCATCCATCCATCCATCCATCCATCCATTTATCCATCCATCCATCCATCCATCCATCTATCTATCTATCTATCTATGTGTGGGGGAGGGTTGTAACATTTTATGAAAGCCAGAAGCGCTTTACATGCCATAAAACACCATTTCTGGGCCTGCTGTGGTTTCATATGGTTGTTAAACAACCATTCTTAGGTCCTGGACTACCTCTGTATACCACACCAAGCATGCTATGCTGGGCCCTGTCCTGCCCTGTCCTACCCTACCCTACTCTACCAGACCCTACCCTACCCCATCCTACCCTACCCTACCCTACCTTACCTTACCCTACCTACCCACCCTACCATACCATACCATACCATACCATACCATACCATACCATGCCATGCCATGCCATGCCATGCCATGCCATGCCATATCATACCAACCATACCCTAACGTACCAACCTCTACCCTGCCATACCATACACTACCCTAGTCTAACCTACCCTTTCTATCCCACCATACCCTACCCTACCCTAGTCTAACCTACCCTTCCCTCCCTATCCCACCATACCCTACCCTACCCTAGTCTAACCTACCCTTCCCTCCCTATCCCACCATACCCTACCCTACCCTACCAACCCTACCCTAACGTACCATACCCTACCCTTCCCTACCCTATCCCACCATACCATACCCTACCCTACCCTGCCATTCCATACCCTACTGTACCCTAGTCTAACCTACCCTTCCCTCCCTATCCCACCATACCCTACCCTACCCTACCCTGCCATACCATACCTTACCCTGCCGTACCAAGCCCTACCTACCCTACCCTACTTTACCATATCATGCCTTCATACCTTTGTCCTCAAATTCCCACTTCCAGCCCGCCTGTCCAAAATCACTTCTCTCTCATGATTAAATGCAGGACTATACTTCCTGTTCTCCAGCTTGTGATGATACGGCAGAAAACCTAACATTCCTCTCCCTATGCTTTCCAACATGCTGAAGTATCTACACCTACATGTCCCAAAGGTGGCTAAGAAAGCCCAGTTGCCTTTTGAAAAGCAACTTTGGGACAACCATGATCTGGTTGATGGAGAATCTCTACGGATACTTCTACATGTCATCTTAGCTCAGCCTCTCACCCGTTTCCTCCTTGAAAGGCAACACCAGGGGCTCCTGCAAGCCATCATGCTCCAGGTGACAATGAGAACGGTTCCTCTCCTTGGGATCGATCTCAATGCTGATCCAGACATAGTAGGTCCCATCTGAGTTGGGGGCCACGTTCCTCCGGATGGTTCCTTGATCCCAGTTCTCTCCATCCCTCATCCAAGTGGCCTGGATCTCCTTGGGGTAGAAGCCATAGGCCTCGCAGACGAGGATCTCCTGGCTGTCATCAATCACCTTGTGGGTCACCTTCCCTACTGGGGGCTCTGCAGAAACAGCAGCAACACAATTCCCAGGATTTTCTGGCCAGGTAATTTAATAGCGGAAAAGGGTCAGTACCGAGGTCAGTAAAAATGAGGACCCAGATTGTTGGGAGCAAGATAATAATAATAATAATAATAATAATAATAATAATAATAATAATAATAATAATAATAGTAGTAGTAGTAGTAGTAGTAGTAGTAGTAGTAGTAGTAATAATAATAATAATAATAATAATAATAATAATAATAATAATAATAATAATAATAATAATAATAATAATAGTTGGAAGGGACCTTGGAGGTCATCGAGTCCAACCCCCTGCTCAGGCAGGAACCCTACACCATTTCAGACAAATGGTTGTCCAATTTCTTCTTAAAAACTTCCAGTGTTGGAGCATTCACCGTTTCTGGAGGCAGGTTGTTCCACTGGTTAATTGTTCTAACTGTCAGGAAGTTTCTCCTTAGTTCTAGGTTGCTTCTCTCCTTGATTAGTTTCCACCCGTTGCTCCTTGTCCTGCCTTCAGGAGCCTTGGAGAATAGCTTGACTCCCTCTTCTTTGTGGCAGCTCCTGAGATATTGGAACACTGCTATCATGTCCCCCCTCGTCCTTCTCTTCGTTAAACTAGACATACCCAATTCCAGCAACCGTTCCTTATATGTTTTAGCCTCCAGTCCCCTAATCATCTCTGCACTCTTTCTAGAGTCTCAGCATGCTGACTCTGTAAACCAGGGCTTTTCAACCTTTTCACCCATTGTACCACTTTTAGGATATGGCAACATCCGAGTACCACCAGTCGCCTAGCAAGGTGTCAAAAAGTTGATGATCCCCCCCCAAAAAAGGAAAAAAGTGATGAAGTACTGGTAGTCCTTGACTTACAACAGTTCGCTTAGTGACTGTTCGAAGTTACAATGGCACTGAAAAAAGTGTTGAGCAAGACACCTGCCTGCCCACCTGGCGGCGCTCTTCCTCCTATCCGAGGTTTCCATTGCTGTGAGCATTTCTGTTGAGGATTGGCAGCGTGGGTGGGGTGGGGTGTGTATTTGGTTTTTATTCCCCCCATCTGCTGGGTGGTTGCAGCAGGTTTTCCTCACTTCACATGACCCTGGGACACTGTGACCGTCATGAATATGAATCAGTTGCCAAGCATCTGAATGTAAATCACAAGACCCTGGAGATGCTGCAACATTCCAGCTGATTGGCGCTTCTTCTGAGCTCAGCAGAAGCACCAAGATCAGTGCTGCTTTCCAACTTCAGGGCTCAGCAGAAGTACCAGGATCAGCACGAGCTCCAGCTGGAGCCTGGCGCTGATCCTGGCGCTTCCACTGAGCCCTGACAGCCCCGAAAAAGTGCCGATCAGCTGGAAAGCGGCACTGATCCTGCTGCTTCTGCTGAGCCCTGCGGCTCCAGCCATCTCTCGCTCAGGCTTGTGCGGTGCTACCACCCGTTCAGCTCATTCCCCTCCCCCGCTACCCTTTTTCTAGGATGCTCGCGTACCACCTGCCAGGTGCCAATGTACCACAGGTGGTACCCGTACCACTGGTTGAAAAGCCTTGCTGTAAGCCACTCAGAGAGGGGTATAAAGCATTATGAAGCAGTATATACATCTAAGTGCTATTGCTATTTGGTCACTCACCTGTCTTCTCCAGAGCCTCCTTCTTGTAGGACAGATACCTCTGCAGCAATTTGATGCAGATCTTCTCCAGGTAAAATTTATTTTTCTGGGACCACCCTGGATGATCCTCCCACTTCTCCTTGACCTTCTCAGCCTGGGGCTGAGCTGCCACCCATCTGGGGGTCTCCTTCTTGAAGCTGAGGAAGTCCATCCCATCATAGCCATAGCGGAAAAATCCATCATTGTTCCCATCTTCCCTGAGCTCACAGCCCACAATCGCCTGCCAGGTATGAAGCTCTAAAAGAGATCCAAAGAGGGATGGATGAGAAGGATCCAGTATAGGTAGTCCTCCACTTACGACAACAATTGAGCCCAAAATTTATGTTGCGTGAGAAATTGGTTGAGTTTCGCCCCATTTTACCACTTTTCCTGCTACCTTTGATAAGTGAACGACCGCAGCTGTTAAATTACAGGTGGTCCTTGACATATGACCATCACTGAGCCAAACTTTTCTGTTGCTAAGTGAGCCAGTGGTTAAGTGCTAAGCATGGAAGGAAACTCCTCCAGTGGGATGCAGAAATGGAGCTCAGATCTTCATGTTTTAAGTAGCTTACGACCACAACTGAGCCCCACATTTATGTTGCTAATTGAGAAATTGGTTAAGTGAGTTTTGACCTTCTTGTCACATT